TTGAGCATTTATTTATTTCTGTATTTATTTTTAAATATGGCAGAGTTGGTCCTTCATACTGCTCTTTGTTTGTCTCTACATTGCTTTCTTTCTTTCATTACTACTATGTATTTTTCTTTATTTCTTCCCATAGAAGTTGTTACTCTTAAAATCCCTACATGAAAAAAATCCCCTTCGTATATCTAAGTATTTCTCCACACTGCTTTGACAGACAACAGGAAAAATAATGGTAGGGATTCAGAATCACGTCCTGCAGCTGGATGGCATGAAATATGGAAACTGATTCTAGTGCCTTTTAGGACAACAGAGAGCGACTCTTCTTGCTGAGCAGGTGGATAATTCTGTGTTTGTGACTGGAAACTCCCATTTAAAGAACAATAGCCTCACAACACATTAATTATTACCATCGCTATTATTATTATTTGGCTATAAAAAGCTAAGCAGACAGAAGAGATTTATTTTTGCAACCAAACCAACCTGCTGCTAACATTCAACAAAAATGAGTGTTTTAGATTGTAGCCAGCCCCCTTAAAATAGAAACCACATTTAGTTTGTTTAGTTAAAGTAAAAATAAAATGAAGGAACCCTAAACACAGCAGCGGTTTACAGTCAGACGCCAGCAGCTGTAATAGAGAAGCTACCCTGATGAACGGCAGCGTTGATGTTATTAGGGTTCGGTTATCAGCTCCCTAATCACCCACAGCACCCTCAGACAGCTCTGAAGGTCTCGTTTAGGTCTGATGTTAATATTCTTCTCCTTATCTGGGCTGAGAATCTGCTCATGCAGACATGTTGGTGTGGAGATGAAGCCGATGATTATTCCCTCTCTGGGTGGAAGCTGCAGGCAGAAAAGCTGCTTCTCAAGTTAATTAGCTCCTAATCTGAGGGAAGGCAAAGCGACGCTTTAATGGATGAGGTGATTAGAAGAAGAATGGCTGACTTTCTCTGTGTTTTATCCTGGATTTAAACTGCTCTCCTGCATGGCTGCATGTTTCGCTGTTTTATAAGCCTGATCCTGTGTCTGTTGATGAATGTTGTGGCGTCTCCAGGTTCCAGACGTGGTGCTGATCAAAGATGAAGACTCAGACGGATACGACAGCATAGAGGACGGTGAGCAGGGAAACCTTCTTCTCTTTTAACATCCGTAGCTCTGATTGGAACTCTGACTGTTCAGTCCTTCCTCTGCCTGCCAGTGAGATGCTGTTGACTGGAGGAGGGGGGCAATCAGGCCGGTCTTTCACTCCTGATGTCATAAAAATCTCATTTTTAGGGAAGAAAGCAGTCCTGGTAGAAGGGAAGAATTTATCAATGGATCCTGAACAATTAGGGTTTTCTTAATGTATGGATGCTAAATGGACCAGAATTTCTTTGCCCTTTTGTTCCAGACTTTTTTAGTTGATGATGAACCCCAGTGAACCCCGGTCTGGACCCAATAAACCGAGCCTCTTTCTAAGGAGGTGATCTGACCCAAATACAGAAAACATGCCTTTTTGGACTTGATGAGCCACAGTAGCGGTCTGTAGCGATAGCAGAGGGGCAGCTTTCTGATACCGGTCGGATAATTGACGCTGATCTGGCATTCTGACCCAGTCAGAAGTTTTTTTTTACCATTACAGAAACTCAGGCTCAGCGATCTAGTCATTCAGTTCTACGTTTGTGGTGTCAGTGACGCCATCAGGCACAGTAGCTGTTTATGTCAAGCCTGATGCCTTCACTCACATGGGAAGGTAAGCAGGTACATTATTGCGCTTTTCTGTGCCACCCACCTCAGTCGGCTGAGAGATCGGTGTGCAGGATCTAGACTCACAACCCTTCACTTATAACGAGATTCTAAACTCTGACAAACTCAATCCTTTACAGCTATTATCTCAGCTCTCTGACCTCACAACTTGTTTATCTGTATGTAAATTAACCTCATCAACCAGCCAATAGAAGACGGGCCTTTTTCATCCAATCAAAGCAATCCTTACAAATACTATATTCAGATGGATTAAAAAAAAATAAAACAAAGTAATAAAATCAACCTGTAAATCAAAATACTGCAACTCCTGTGTGACAAGATTTAAGAAAAACACTGTAATCAAATAAACACTTCAGTGTTCTATATTAACATATATTTAAAAGGTCGATAATAATTTAAAAGCTCTGTTTCTGTACTCCTCCGGCGGTGCAGGAATACGGTACAAAACCAAAGTTAAATGTTTCTTATTTTCAACATTGTCATATTACATTGCTTCCCCACAGTTAGATTCATTTTCTCGTCACTATTTTACCAAGCTGGTCCTCATGGGAAAGGCTGTCTTCCTTCAGCCAGAACAATACAGCTTTTTACCAGTGGGGGGAGCCAAAATCGGCCAAAACTGAAAGTTCTTTAGGAATGCTTTAATCTAGAATCCTATAGTGTTTAATTTCTAACAGTCTGATGTTGTTTCCTAATCTCTACCACCGTAGGTGTAATATTGTTGATTTACTGGTGGAGATTGGTTCCTTTCATCCATCTGAATGCAGTATACCCAGGAATTACTTTGATTGGATTAGAAAGGCCTGCCTTTGATTGGCGGGTCCGTGTGCTTCGTTTTCATGCAGTTAAGCAAAGGAGCAAAGAGAGAAGAAGTGGAGCAGATGTGTTTTAATTTAAAGGCTGCACATCTGTTTACGTGTCTGGCACAAAGAAATCCGGCATCCTTCATTCCTTCAGCGGCAGGATTGCATCGGTCTCGGCTGTGGGTCACTTCTTTCAGCCTAGAGTTCAGTATCGGATTGGATTGGGTGGGGGAAACTGGATCAGTACATCTCTGAGAGATAGATGTTCTGAAGTCACATTTGATCTGCCTACTGCCGCTTAGCAGCGCCACTGGTAGCGTACTGTAACTCGGGTTTAACAGGAGCCATGGTTTCCTTCAGTGTTCTAAAGTTAGATCAGATCTGCTCTTCTGATGCTGTGATGACTAACCAGCAGAACAGAAGTGGAGCTCTCAGGACTGCGGGGATCGTTTACCTGTTCTCCCAATAATCATTATAGTCCACCTAAAAAAAAAAATAACTTAAAACATTGAAGAAAACCACAGGAAACGTGTCTTTATAAACTTAGGGAGTCCGCCACTAACCGTGGCTCCATCAGTACAAACAGAGGATCTGTTTCTGTCTAAACTTTCCTCCAGGAAATAAATCTGGTTCCAGGATCCATCCAGCAGGTCCTTACAGCTCTGTGTTTATCTTTCAGCAGAGAGGAAGCACCTTGATGGGGGGGCGTCTGCTGCAAGCAAAGAGGTTCCCATGATCAGGAGAAGGCGACGCCGCAGTCGCGTCTATGAAGACTCTGACACGTCGTCCTCTGAGCAGCTGGTGCTGAAAACACCCCGAGTGGCCGCGGGGTCGCAGAAGACCCCGCTCCTCTACAGCCTGGACTCCCCTCGGAGCGAACCGGGCCGCTCTGCTCGGCTCCTGGAGGACGTCCAGATGAAAGTCAGCGACTCGGTTTGTTCCTATCCGGGTCAGATGGACCCGGATGTCCACCTGGTTCAGGACTGCTCACTGGTTCCTCCGGGTCCAAGCAGGCAGGTCTTTTTCAGCAGCAGCAGTCTGATGGAGGCTCAGCCCACGGCGAACAGAAGCAACCTGGACATGAACCTGGAGCCAGCCTGGTCCAAGCAGACCAAAGGCTCCATGTCTTTTGCTCAGTTCTGTCAGAATGAGAACATGGAGGGTGATACGTTTGGGCTGAAGCTGGTTGGCATCTCCGGCCCAGCTTCTGCGGACGCCAGAAGCCCCGCTTTTGATTATGAAAGCGGCGGTAGCGTGCTGAACTTCGGCCTGTACAGTGACCCGCCGGGCCAGTCCCAGCTCCCCGCGGGGGAACCAGACGATGACCCTCAGAGGAAGCGCTTCGTCTGCTCCATATGCAACAAGACGTACGCCACGGCGCAGAACCTGGAGGTCCACACCCGGATCCACACGGGCGAGAGGCCCTTCGCCTGCGACCAGTGCGGAAAGAAGTTCACGCAGTCGGCCCACCTGAGGTCCCACCTGAACGTGCACACAGGCGAGCGGCCCTTCAGCTGCACGCTCTGCTCCAGGAGCTTCATGGTCAAGTACAGCCTCAAGCTGCACATGAAGAAGTGTCACCCCAACAGCTGAGCCCGTCCGCTCGCTCCAGATTTTACTGCAACGTTTTAAGAATTTAGCTTTCTGCATGTTTATAAAATCAAACTTCAAAACTCGTGGTTCCAGGTTTTTATGCAGCTCTGTAGCACTTTAATAAAGAATTCTGAATTGATTAGATTAAATGAGTGGAAATGAACAGATTAGGAGCCAATTTAGAAACAAGAACTTACAGGTTCCTACAGAGCATCCAGAAAGTATTCTCAGCTTTTTTCCATTTTCAGTTACCTCACTGGCTGCTGCCCACTTGGGTGCAGAAACACTGTGACACTGTGATCTCTCTAAGTTACTCTAGCTGTCCAGAAGCACTATAAAACAGAGCTTCTTCTGCTACAACTCTATGCTGGACACTCGTCGCATTCAAACGGATTTTATTTCTTCTAGTAAGGGACAGCTAGCCTAACGTAGCACTGGCATGTCTTCTCTCTCTTTTCTGACTCTTTTTAAATCTTCCTCTCTCCTGCTCTGTGTCAGATGTCCAGTTATTCCTCTGCCTCCTTTAGTGATAATGGCACGTGAAATAAGTCTATTTTTAGCTCTATGTATTTTAATACAGAGCTGCACACTTTGAAGCATAATGCCAGGAATCCGGAAAAAAATGATGCTCTACATGCCTACAGTGATCAGTAAACATCCGTTAAAAACCACATCACACAACAACCCGCTCAGTTAATATATAGATATATTTACTGTGTGAACGTGAAAACGCTTCAGTACAACTTAATTTAACACTACAGTCATGTGACACACCACAGACCGGTACTAACATGGCTGCAGATGGAGTCATAACCACGTAGACCACTCTTTACGTTTAGAAGACGAACTACGATCAGTGCGCACACACAAATATGCTAAGCTTATTTTGACAGAACTGAAATCATTACATTTATTATGGTTGATTTTTAATTCTTGCCTTTAAGGCTTATTAGATTGTTGGCTGGAACATTGAACATCTGAACGCTGAACTTTAACTCCAGTTAACTATAATATCTATTTTGATTTGTAATCAGTACGTGGTTGAATTAATTCTTCCCAATAACTGTCGGGGAGGACAGAAAGTTGCTGATTTCCATCCATTCGGTGTTAGTCCAGTTCATACGTCCATCAGATTTGACAGGCCAATGCGATTTCTAGAGTCGACTTTAAGCACAGCAACATTAGAAAAGCTCTTCTGACACGTGCATTTGATATAGGGAGGGGGAGGAGTTTATTTGCATCAAGCGCTAAATCCCAGAAGCAGCAAGGTTCTTCTTCCAACCAGAATGCATCGATCGTCAGCGTGAGGTTTATCTACTCTAGTTCTGTGCTCTAAACACCCTGGCAGATAACATTAGCTAATCAGCCCACAGTGAAGCTAAAGCCTCTCCTTTTAGATTTTTTGGGGTTTTTTTTGTGAGGTCAGAGCGCTCTGGAGCAGGTTTTCATTCACGTCTCTTTATTCATCTTTCCCTCCATCCTGACAATTCCTGCTGCTGAAAAACATTCTCATAGCATGATGGTGCCACCACCGTGCTGCACTGTAGGGGTGTTACTGGCACCCGTTTTTCTACAAACATGTCCAATCTTTGTCTCATCAGACCACCAGAGGATTTTGTTTCTCACAGTCTGAAGCTCCTTCAGGACGCGGTGCCTGATCAGTGGATTGCTGCTGCTTCTAGAAGGTTCTCCTCAGAGCAACACTGGAACTGTTAGACGGGTTCTGATGGCTGAGTTTAGACAGTCGTCAACCATCCTGGTGGTTAGAGACAGTCAGTGGAAACAGTTTGGATCTTGGCTCGATTTCTTTGCAAAATATGTGATTTCTCTGTTTTACATAACCTTGCTTTATAAAATAAACACTTTTTTTTTTACATTTTGTGACAGATCTGTGGAAAAAAGTGCTGTGAATATTTTGAGGATGCTCACTCTGGAGAGAAAGCGTGTGATGGTTCAGGTGCAGCTACTGCTTTATAGCTCTGCTTTTACTGCCTGGTTTAATCTGGTTTCATGCAGACGGTTCTAACAGATACTGTTGGTGGGAGGGACATGACGCTCAAGGCCACTAAAGGCTCCCTCCAATGGTCTTTCTGCTGGTGCTACTGTTTTGGTTTTAAAAACAGATTTTTTTGATACATTCTGTCTGCTGTGTTATTATTCATGTTTTGTTTGAAATAAAATATAAAACCTGTTAACTTCACTGCAATCCATTTAAAAGGCTTGAGGAGTGTACAAACTGGAACTAAGACTTGTTGAGGCGTTTGGTTGAACCTTTAAACTCTGTGTGCTGAGTTTGCTGATTCTAGAGGAAGACTAGTTGGTTCCAGTGGAAAAGTCGTCGTCCTCCAGGATCCTTCTGGCTGCTTTTCTCCTCTGGATTTAATCTACAACCAGACTGTTATATTTAGGGTATTAGAACTGAGAAAAAATGATTAAAGTGATTCATCAACCTCTGGCTGAAAACTTATTACTGCACCATAAACACTGATCTGAAACAGATCATGTTTGAATGTTAAGTTATTTAATCAAAACACTTAAATACGATATATATATATATATATATATATATATATATATATATATATATATATATATATATATATATATATATATATATAAAACAAATAGAAATAACATTGTTCTCAGGACTAATTGGACTGAATTTAGAACATGATTTTTATTTTTGTTATATATCCGAGAACCAAGGAGGAAGAAAAGCGCTCCAATGCACAAAATGACAAGATGCAGAATATTAAATAAAGGAGATTATGGGATTACCATCATCAATTTGGTATATTTGATACATTTTATATATATACATCAAGTACATATTTCCCTTTATTTGATACTTAATAATAAATAAACAGCAACTACAGGAAACACACATTGACCCAGTTTAAACAACTGGACTGGATAGTGATGTTAATTCAGATGTCCATCTTCTAGGTTGGAGAATAGAGAAATATGTTGGTCACATTTTTTCCCCTCTTTAATGAGCATCTGTGGGTTCTGGCCTGATCTGGCCCTAGTCCCAGTCAGAGCTTTGATGTGGCAGGACTGGACCGTTTGATACCATCTCCTCCTCCAGGTGGATTCTGGCTTTAAGAAATAATACAGAGCTGTCTGGTGGCTTTAATTATTTTCTCACCACAGACAGGAAAAGGAAAAAAAAAAACTAAAATTTTGCAGATCAGTGGAAATTCAAAACAAAAGGTTTTTGTTCTGACTAGGAACTCTTACTGGAAAAAGAAGATTCAAGAAAAAACTGAAAAGAAAGAGAGAAAAGGCCTCTTTTGAAATGAGTAAGCATCTATATTTTAGAAAAAGGTTTTATTCTTAAATAATTTTTGACTAAAGGAGGCTCCATACTATGAAGGACCAACTCTGCCATATTTAAAAATAAATACAGAAATAAATAAATGCTCAATAAATGTATAAGCATACAATTAATTGCCAACAAAAGGGGGGGGGTAAAGCATGTGCTCGACTTTAACCTAGTTCTATCAAACAGACTGTAAAGAACCTTGATATGATATGTTCTGGAAATTGACGTAAAGTAAATAAATTGAATTAAATTGGAAGTAAATTCAAATATAATTTTTTTTCAAGTTGATTCTGAACACATGTTCTTTTTTGATAAATTATTTGTATTTATAAGTAATGAAATTAAATCAGGCATAAGACCACTAAAGAATAAACACATATTTCAATTAAAGGTATTCTACCAATTCAGATTTTTTTAATTGATGTAAAATAGTAAAACTAAATGATGTAAAATGTAATTCTGGTAAAACTAACATTTGGATCTTTTCTTTCTTTTTAAGAAAAAAAAAAATTCTCTGTGAAGTTCCAAAGAAATTTATATTTCCTCAAACATCTAAATGTTGTGTTCTGCATTTAACAAATTAATAAAGAGTTTTTTTTTTCTCAGAGCTAAAATCCTTTATTTTAGCGCCCAGTTTAATCTGTGACTTCTGTTAATTTTAATGGCATTTTATGGCAGATGTTTTGTCGTCATCTGCTGGGCTGAATTGTAATAATACGGTTATTATTGTGTAAAAAAATAATAATAATAATTCTGCTGTTTATTGCAAATCCACAGAAAATGTATAGTGATTTTAGAAAAGAGTAAATCAACTCATTTAATTTATTCTTTATCACTTTAATTTCTTTAAAAGATTATTCTGTGTTACGTTGATGACGTGTGACTTCACGCATGCGCACAAAGTATTGTATCAATTCCTGGTTGATGTGGAGGCCTCTCTCAGGATAAACAGGTTCTGCTGAGGTTATTTTAATTCTAGCTGGCTTTCAGCGGTTCTGGACGTCCTGCTTCTACTGGATCAGCAGGAAAATGTCTCCGGCATCCTCGTTTCACTCTCAGCTCGCCTCCATCATGGAGGTTCTGGCTAACACGGCGGTGGCGGAGATCTGTGAGCTGGTAGACAGCGGCTACGCGGTGCTGCAGCTCGAGATCTCCCGCAGCCGCAAGGAGAACGAGGTTCTGCGGAGGAAACTGCGGCTCATGGAGCTCCGAGCGGCGCGATCTGCCGCACTCCGAGCCGCCGCGAGCGGCAGCGGCAGCGCGCCGTTTTATGCTAGCGGCGGACGCACGCGCGTCAACCAGCGCGTCCACGAGCAGAGGAGGCACGCGCCACCGACAGGTAGCTAACTAACCGTTATATTTATATTTCTTTAAAGGTTCACATTTACCAGATGGAAAAGCTAAGATTTTATTTTTTCTGAAATGTTTAGCTTCCAAACAGCTTTGAGAAACATTAACCTGCTGATGGTTTATTCACCCAAATCAGAAGAAAAATATTTTATTTGTGTTTTCACAAATTGAATATTTCCATTTGCATAATGTGACATTATTGCATAATATTTGTGTTTTTTTATTATCATAAATATTTCAGATTTTCATCTGATTTAACCATTAAATGGAGCGGAATATCCCTTTAATTTGGTAATGAAAGGAGGCTGACCTTTACATTAAAGCAAACGTTTTAGAAAATTATATATTTATAAACAATGTATTCAAGGCAAAGTTAAAGAAAAATATTGGAAAATCAAATAAAGGAAATTAGAATTTCTTTGAAGATGATGACATTTTTGAAAAACTTAATAACAATGTAAGGTAAATGTAAACAGAAAACCTTAGTGAGCAAAATAAATCAGAATCTCAAATTTTTGTTAAAATTGTTCAGAAAAAAGTACTAACACTTCACTTTACTAACTGTCAGAACTCCTTTTTATTTACTGTAAAATCTGAGAGTGAGAAAATAGAACCATTATAGCTAACTGAATAGATGTTGGTAGTCAGAAATGTCAGCAGAAAAACAATTTTAAAGAAGGATAATGTTAAATTTACTAAAAGGAGAAATCATTAGTTGGTTCTCAGACACCTTTAAATTTCAATTTGAAATTACAATGTATTGCAAAATTCATGATAAAAGGATGATAATGAAGAACATCCCCAATATTATTTGTAAACTCTTATTGTTGCTGAACTGTAAACATGTTGTAACTAATCAGATGAAAAAGACCAAGATGAAAAAGTGATTAAACAAACATTTAAACGGCTCCACTGATGACAGAGCAGCTACGGAGCAGACAGGAAGTCCTCCACAAGCTCTGAGAACCAAAACAGTCAAACATGAGAGCAGCAGCCGCTCTATAAGTGCGTTTCTGAAGGTTTTGTAGTGGCCTAGTCAAAGTCCAGAGCTTTGAGCCATTGAGGGATCTGTGGAGAAACAACAGATCTGTTTCAAATAGTCTGGGGTTTTGCAGGAGTTGGAGAAGAGCTGTCCTTGCCGTCCAATGAGCAGACGTCTCTGAGCAGAGACACCTGTCCACCATCAGAACCAGTACAGGAGGCTGCAGAGCAGACGGTGAGTCCAGGTCCTGCTAGGCTTCAGCTGCAGGTTCTACAGGTTTGACGCTGCGTTGTGTTTTCAGCCTGCTGCAGCTGAGATGTCGACTGTGATCAAACTAGAAGATGAAGACGAGCCGTGGTCCCAACCTGACCCCCACAGTAAGCCTTTCACTGCTTTGTCTGTCCGGGTGATGCTGACCTCTGACCCTAACAGTCTTTGCGCCCCTAGATGGTCGCTGTGGAGTTTCTGAGGAAGAAGCTGAAAAGGAGGCTTCGCCCTCGCCGATCAAACAGGAAGCAGCAGATAAAGGAGACGGCGGCTGCGTCTCCTGGACGAGCGGGCAAGTGAGCTCCACCTCCACCCAACATGTCCTGAACTCCAACCAGAGGCCAGAAACCAGCAGCTTTGACTCCCTGATGCTGCCGCACACTTCCCAAGATCCTACAGCGCCAGAACCCGGCAGCTCCTCTGGGTTTATTCCCAGCAGGAATGTTTCTACTGATTCAGCGAGCAGCGGTGGTTTCTCCCACGGCAAGGCAACTCTGGCTACAGCAGAGCAGCAAGGGGCTCCTCAGAGACAGGCTGCAGGAGGACACGGCTCCTTCTTCAGGTGGCGGCTACAGAGCCGGGCCGACTCCAGAGCGAGGACGTTCGTCTGTAACTTTTGCGGGAAGGGGCTGGCCTGCCTGAAGAACCTGAAGACCCACATGCGGGTCCACACGGGCGAGAAACCGTACGTCTGTGCCCTCTGCGGGAAACGCTTCTCCGACTCCAGCAACCTGAAGCGGCACCAGAGCGTTCACACCGGCGAGAAACGCTACGGCTGCGTCCACTGCGGGAAGCGCTTCGCTCAGTCCGGCTCGCTGAAGGTCCACATGAGCGTTCACACAGACTGCCGGCAGTTTAAGTGCTCCTTCTGCGGGAAGACGTTTACGTCCGGAGGACATCTGAGGAGACATGTCGCCACGCATGTTGGGGAGACATGACCGGCTGCTGCGTTACCATGACAACCTTTACAAAAGGCCCCCTAGACAGCAGACAGGAGCTCAGTGGGTTTGCAGTTTAAATGCTGCAGATGTTTCAGACCATCATCTCTGTGGTTCTAGAACAAGAAACTCAAATCCACCAATAACGAAGTTTACCTTCATCAGATCCAGAAAATGTGTCAGAGGGTCGTTTCAGGTTCAGTTCATCTCCAGGTGAAAAGAAGATGTGAAGCTGATGAAACCAAAGAAGGAACCCGAACATATGATTCATTTTATCTACAGAAAACTGCTGAACTCTTTTCCTGTCACAGTAACCATAGAAAGCCCCGCCCCTTTTCACCACAAACCTGTTCAACCCTGGAAAAAGGTCAGACTGAGTGACTGGTGCAGCTAAAGCTTGGAAGGAAAATGCAAAAAAAAAAAAAAAAACTGATGTTTTAGTGTC